AGCAGTAAAATACTGAGGCATTTATAAATGTGACAATACTCACTTTGTGCATCGAGACAGAGGAACGTAACCCAGCCAAGCAAAGCGAAAACCAGAGCTCTGGAGAGAGCCATGAGCACTGCAGGAAAAATATCCAACTCAAGGCAAAACCAGAGGGTTGTTTCTCATATAGAATACTTGCAAAGAATCATTTCATTTGTCATATCATAGATTAGTTATTATCCTGACCAAATGTTTCACCAAGAACAAGGCAAAAGGCTGAAATAAGCGTCTGAGAGCAACCCACAAGCTATATAATGTGCTTATCATTTTCAGCTTATGAGATCAAAGTCCTTTTGGGCAATAAAAAATAAACCAACAAGGAAACCTACATCCGTGCTGTGACACAAAATGAGACAAGTGCATTTTTATTTTAACATTCCAACTGAGAATAAATTAGCAAGATGTCCTGGCCAATGTAAGAGATATGTACGTATTCCCTGGGAAAGAAAATTAATGGGGTGTGTCAAAAGGCAGAGGGACCAGCACCATCCCTTTTGATCTCATAGTGATGGCAGAGTATCGTCACATAACTGTTCCACAAGGAATAAATCCAGAATTCCTGTTTGGAAACTGGTTACTATTTGATGTGGTGAAAGCAGACACCTCTGAAGCACATCTAGTATTTTACAGATACTACACACCGGAAATAAGTGTAGCAAGGCAGCTAAAACATTTTACTTCAGTGAAGTTACCTAAAAAACACAAACAAAAAACCCAAATCACCAATATTTTCAGCTTGTAGAAAACTTCAAAGACTACAAATGATGGAAACAAACTACATGATTAAACGTATCACTTGTAGGTACATACACCTTAAATTGGAAGGTGCAACTGATTACACAGCAAGGAAACTGCTCCCAGACCAAAGTCTTTTTATGATTGTGCCAACATGTTTGGTCACCGTGGACACTAAAGTAATTACTGTAGGCTGAATGAGAACACAAAATACAATAAAACTACATAAAACAACTAAAAATAAAATTACCATTATGCTGTCCTAGCCTTGAATAGATGAAATGTGGGAGCAACTCAAGCAGAATCAGCTAAAGAAATATCAAAAGAAGGTCAAGCATGTGCAACGTGTTTTTTGAACAAAGGCCACATGCAGCAGTGATTAGATCTTCAGTGGTGTTATTTATTGCTGGTGCCAATCTCAGGCAGGTAATTTTCCTCCTTGGGCTGATTTTTCCCTATGTCTGCGATGGCCAAGCCTTTGCAAGTTCATACAGCAAAGGAGGAAGGCAGGTCTGTGCACAAAGAAGAAGAAAAAGGAAAAGGAGTTCCCTTACCTAATTCACCAAACACCTTCAGGCTATCACAGCCAGGCCAGAGCCTACATAATCTGATATTTGTACCAAAAAGTTCTAGCAGCAAATCTTCTTGACCACTGGAAATATTTATGTGCTGGATGCCTTAATCCACTAATGAAGACTTACTTTTGGATATCCCAAACCAGAGGGAAGGCAATTTTGTTCTCCGGGAGCTCTCTTAGCAAGAGGCGTCCCAGAGAGCTGGAAGCTCAGCCATGAGCGGTGGCATGAGACCTTAGAGGATCAAACTCCAGCAAGATCTCCCACATTATCCGTGGGGAATCAGCCCAAAAGCTGTAGGAAGAAGAGTAGTGTACACAAACCCCTACAGGCAGGTGTATGATGAAAATGCTGCTGAGACACAGTACAACTCAATGTTAATTCTCCCTTCGGAAGCTGCAACAACAGAGGTTTTGCTGTGAGAGTCTTGGTCCAAAACAACAGCAGCACCTCCCAAAACTTAACACTCAATGCCCCTATGATTTCCAAAGTAGAGGAGCTCACAGTGCTGTTAAACTTTGCCAGTCAAAGGCAGGACAAGACCCTGACCTCAGGGACACGGCCATTCTGTGCTGTCACTTGGCCTCAAGCCTGGAAAAGCCTTTGGCTGCTTTTATTTATAGATACAGCCAGGAGGGGATTCAGTATTGAATCTATTCCTATGACAAGATAAATTTAGCATAAGTCAAGTCTTCTTTACCTCCTCAAAAATGGGACTTGATCTTGGAGGCCTTTTCTAACCTAAAGGATTCTGTGATTCCTTAATTATTAAGAAAGAGAGAAAAAAAAGCTCAGAAGACAGTGGTACAGTTTCATGAAGGCTAGTTTTCACTGAGCTGCAGGAGGAATGGCTGAAAGGTCTGTGTGTGCTGCTTTCTGGGACATCAGGAATACCTTAAGGTGTTACACTGGCCTGGAGTGGGGAGGGAGGTGCCTAAAGGGAAGCAGAAATTTCATACAGGGGCTCAAGAAAGTGTCTGATGCACAGGAGCAGTTTCCCAACACAATCCCATATGTCTGAGCACTCAACAAGAATAGGAAACAATGTTTTTTTAAAAATTGATTCCCTTCTGGCCAAGAGAAAGGTGTTACTCAGTCACATCAAACATGCCCACGCTATTCATAGACTGGGGCAACCATATGTCCTTCTCCTAACACAACATCTTTTTCCCTTGGGGCCATCACTGAAGTTAAAATTCTGTCCCTTTCTCCAAGATTTCTGGGAATCCAGGAAACAGGCACAGCTCCAGAGTGCAGTAAGTTCATTTATACCCACGTGTGACAGCAGGATATAGACTGTAGCCTTCCCAATATCCCAACTGCACAAACACAGGACATCCAAGACATCCATTTAGCAATTCCTAGAAACAGAATCATGGAAACTAATTGTATTCACAGATTTAACAGATTGTACCATTTAAGCAATCTGCACTGTGGCAGTGTAAAGCAAAGTTAAATATTTTTTAAACATAGCTTAGTCTGGCATTTTGCATACTTGGGTCAGTTGTAGTGCAGCTCACTGAGGAATTTTTAATCCAGCTTCAAAACTTGATGCAGATAAGAATTCTTATAAGTTCTTGTAGATTTGGAGCAGCTCTGCATTTAATGATATCCTGTTCTTGACAGATAAAAAGCCTGCATGAGGATGCTGCAATTTAATCACAAATACACATGCATGATTGAGACCATCAAACAACATTTATGCACATACTTAGCTCTTAAAAGCATCTATAAAAAACTCACACACTTCTTAAATTAATAATGTTTATTTCCATTAAACCAAGACAAATTTTCAAAATTAATACAAGATAAAAATTCAAGGTGGTTGGCATGGGGAAAAAAATATAAGACTGCACATCATGTATATTATTTGTATATGGTCAAAAATATTTTTGAGTAAAACAATACTGGCACGTAGAACTGGCACTTCCCCACAGAACAAAACCAGCAGAATTTTCATTTTTCTTCTAGTCAGTAGTTCTATGAAAACTAAACACACACACATGCAGCCTGCAACTTTCATAGCCAGGTTTACCATGGCAATTTGGAACAACCCTCTATCAGAAGTCATAAAATTGTAGAAAATACACTTTTTCTACTGCATTTTTCATACCTGATGGCTTTTATAGTATTTTCAACAAACAACAATCAGTTTCCCAACATTGACAACAAGTGCTTCAAACTGCATTAGTACTTGCAAACAAGCCTGAGCCATTCACAAAACATTATTTATTTGACATAGATTAAAGTACTCCTGAAAAACTGCAGCTCCTGTCCAAAATCAAAGCCGCTGAATCAAATTTTGCTTGTTGGTTTCACTGGGCTCCAAATTTGCTACAGCATTGGACAAAACATACAAGTAACACCGACTTTTAATTGTTTCAATAAAACTCTTCCACCTTGACAGCAGTATTTTCAAGTATTGCTATCCTAGTCTTCTAACACCCACTGAAAATCATCAAGAAACAAGACAAACAAAAAAAGCCCCAGGGGAGAGAAGAGCATTTCGACAAATCTCCCTCTCCTTAACCCACTCCCACCCTCCCACCCAGGAACTTGCTGACTTAATTCCAAACTCACAATTTATTGTACAGCCAGGAGTTGGAATAAGCTTTCCCTGAGCTCTCTTTCCACCTGCTTCAAAAAGTCAGAACTTGTTTCCTTGAATTCAGCCATCATTATTATTGCCATTTTCTCTGCTAATATGCAACGTATTTTCTAGGCAAGTTATTTCATTTGGGTAGCCCTGGATTTGTATTCTATTGCTCCAAATACAGAACTTGAAAGTGCATCTGACTTCTAAACAGTATTAATCAGGCAGGTTTCAGGAAGTAACTAGACCCAAAAGATCTACGTGCACAAGCCTTTGTAATGATACATTTCTGTTGCAAGATGCAGAATTAATAAGAGATCTGCTCAGTAATTTAGAGGCATAGCATCAGTTAGAGATAGAACTGCTTTGCATCACAAGGTTTGGGTTTTAGAAGGGAACAAAGCACTGTCCTGTGCAGGAGGGGTCAGGAATTAGGATGGGTACAGATTTTATATACAAGAAAAGCAAATGGTTCACATGCAAGATGTAATGCTGCACCATCATGGCATTGAGAGCATCTTTGGAGGTCTAGTCTCTACCTGCTACCCACCTTCAGAAGAGTGGGAGTTGTGTGATGTACACAAGAAAGCCCCAGAACTGCATGAAAATTTTGCTTAAACTAGTCTAAGTCACAGGTATTGTCACAGACTTTAAATGCAAATCCCCAGAAGACTGACCTAAAATGTACCATCAAATACAACACAATATAAATACACGAGGAGACGGGTTAATGCTGCTGACTGCATTCAGAATTCAGTAGTCTTGCTTTTTCCTTTTCAGTATTTCTAGCATACCAAAAGGCGTATTTGTGTCTTCCCCCATAAATAAAGTTAGTCTGATAATTTAATTTTGTAGATTTATAAAATATTTTCTATGCAACTTAACGCAATAGCCTAAAAAAGCAATTAAATTTAACTTTAAGAAATAGTATATTTACAATTAAAATAAGTACAGACCTTATCGGGTTTGCATTCATTTATAGCACAAAATAATTTACAAGGCTTAAAGTAATAAATAAGTCACTGGAAAGCTTTCAGAGATGTGCATTCTCCATACGTCAGAGTGCAGTGGAGTTTCAGGAAGCAGTAATGAGATCTGGCTAAAGTGTGTCCATGACTCTTTATGTTGGACGACCTTGACCAAAACGGGCTTTGGACCTGGGTTAAAAACACACAAGAAACATACTTACATTTTTAATGCAGGGTATTTTACATTATTAATGCAGGTTTTTGATCTGTGGGGGTGTTTTGGTTTTGTTTTACAAGGTGGATGAAGAACAGGCTAAAAGTATTGGCTAACACTTTTCTGGTTTTCCCTAACTTCCCGAAACGAAAATGATGTTGGAGCTACAGTGAACCTTCCCCCAGCTCCAAGAGTTTCATTCTCCCAGCTCTACTGGGAGACAAAGGGAAGATTTCACACCTCATATGGCTTAACCTGGTGGAAGCTGATCCATAAGTAATGTATGAAGTGAAGCGTGTTTTTCTTTAAAATATTTCTTTTAAACCCACCACCCCACACCCCCAAAAATCCATGAGTTTTTCTTGCTTTGATTTTAACATCTTACTTGGGATTCTTCTCAGCATTGCTTTGTCGTGCACTCATCTGTGCTGAGGCTTTTATCTGAGCTTCAAGTCTAGAATAAATGCCTCCTGCATACTGGAATCCAGAAAAAAAAATTTAAAATAAAATCAAGTTTTGACATGATTTCAATGTTATCAGTGACACTAACGTTCAGCACAACCTATGGCATACTTTTGCCCATTATTACAATCCAGTACTGATTTTTTTTAAACCCATTCTATTTTCCATGAACAGTTTTTAAAAGCAGTGACCTTTAAAGATTATTTTAAACTCTAATCTTCAAAAAGTCATGCTTGGAACAAAATGAAGATTGATAAAATTAATTCTTCAGCTTAAGTATTTAATAGATGTTATTTTAATTTGTGTTTAATATTTTTGTTAACCAAGGCTCACTTCAACTCTGCAAACACTACATTTTGCCAGGACAAAACTTACTTCTTTGCTATCTTTGGACTTGACTCGATCAAGGTCTCCCAGTCTCATTTTTATTAAGTGCCCTGTGATCTCAGACATTCTTCTTTGATCTGTCAGAAATAAGAAAGGATATTTAGAGTAAAGGTTTTCATGGCTACTGAACACAAGGAGGAATAGACACAGACTTTAGTGATACTGGGTTTGTAATTTTTTTTAGTTCATATAAAAATCTTGAACAACCAAGATCCTAAATCCTGCTGAATCCTCAGCAGCCTTGGCAGATACTAGAATCAGCCTGAGGCACTACACTGAGATCAAAATCTCAGGAAATGGTTTTCAGGCAGAGGATTTTTAAAACAGCAAACTCAAACAAGAGTCTCAGGAGAGATTAAAAAAGACAGAAAAAATTAATCCAATTCTGAATAGTTTTAGTCAGACTGGGAAAGAGATGGAAGTGGATGTTTATTTATCTGCACAGACAACAAATGCCACTGGGATGCAGGAAAGAAATATCTGCATATTTTTATAATCATGAGATGACACAACTACATCTCTGTAGGTTCTGCGCTGACATTCCAAATAAAACACATAAATCACACAAACACCCCAAATCCCATTGCTGTATCTGAGATTAAATTCACCCTACAGGGGTGTAACTACATTTTAAGAAAATTAACTGGATCATGTTCTTTGCATAATATTAACTTTAGAAAAGCTAAACTCATGCAGGAACAGACCATCTTCTCTTTGAGCATCTTGGTTGAATCTCAGGGACCTGGAGGCATCCCATTTGTTCTGCTGCATGCTCACACTGCAAGAGAAAGGTGCACACACTCTTATCAGGAACGGCTTAAAAGAGGGAGATACTGAAATGTGTGGTCAAGGGCTTTGAAAATGACTCACATGAAAGGAGAAACATCTCGGGAACTTGACTGCTGAAGGAAACAAAAACACATTTAATATGGTTTTCTAAGGTCAGCTCCAAAATTTAGAGAAAATTCCTCATTATTTAAGCCAGCCAGAGGGCTTGGATTCACAGCTGTGATTTTACCTTATCAGATGGCTTCTCCCTTTTCTGAACACTAGGTGAAGAAACCACTTTCTTTGGGTGCCTGTAGGATTTCTTTAATTTCTCCTTTCTCCCTGCTAATGGAAGAAATATCTATTCATACCCTCAGATACTTGGAATTTCTCAACTGCAGAGCTACTGAAGTGTTTTTTCCTCTCTCTTTCAAATGGTGTAAATTAACAGGCTGTTTTCCTTTTATTAGTGTTGCAGGCATGCTAACACTCATTACTCAAATGCTTTTTCTACGAGAAATATACAGAAACTCAAGTATGTTTTTAAAATGCAGAGTGATTACACATAACAGCACAATTTTTTTACATTTAAAAATAAGTTAATGTACGAGCTACATTTTTGATCATATTAATTCAATGACTAAATTCTGAGCAATAGCAGATCAAACAACTTTAAATTTAAATTACAAACATTTTCTTTCAAAACTTATGTAATTTTTTAAACTGGTACAATTCTAATTGCCCTTTGAGTAAAGACAAAAAGAACAAAGAACTGCCTCTCTTCCAATGAATCATTAGTAGGGTGACGAGGAGAAGTTGCTTTTTGGCTTTCCATGTTCTTAAACCCATTATCACATTAAAAAAAAATGAATTAAAGTCTTTTTTGATCATATAAAGCTTAGCTTCAATGCAGACTCAACTTTAGCTACATTAATCAGTCATTCCTCCATGTAATCAAATGACAAATCTGCAAATTTTTTTTTGCATGTAAAAGCAGCCATGTAATTTCTACCTTTTCTTCCAACATTTATTACATGAAATTTCATTAATTTGAGGGTTTCCTGCAAAATAAGTGCTTGATAATTACAGGGACTTTTCAGACATGAATAGTTTCAGCTTGTCATGTTTGCCAGGGATTTTTGATGGCACTGAGCAGTCAGATAATTTGTATCTAACCACAGAAAAACTAGGGATAAAATTCAAGTAACTTTGTGTTTTATTTTTGAAATGCCTAATATTCAAAATCTGCTTACAGAGGACTTCTGCTGCCTCAAATCCATCTGATAACTCCAGAGAGGAGGACTGTAAAGACTTGATGTACCTGGTTTCTTGCACACTTCTTCTTCATCCCCCACTTCATCCTCAGTGACCTCTGAGCCCGTGGTGTACTCCTCCTCTTCAGATAACAGTGATTGCTGTTTCTAACCAACACCAGGAAAAGCCAGAGATTAAAAGAGAGGCTGGGTTTCTATTAAATAATGATTTAATCTGTCTGGTAGGAGCTGCCATCCAGTACAGTTCCCTATCGCAGTGACAAAAGCATGAATAATTTCTAACAGGTCAGCACAGAATTATGGAAATGTTCAGTAATGAGCTGTTTGCATTTTTTGAACGTACACTAAAGTATACACTATATATACATAGTATACACTAAATATACAAACACACTAAAGTAAGTGATAATAAGTGCCCTGTAATGAGACATGATGAAGCTTAACAATGAAGACTGAAGCACCTCAGACCAGCCAAGAGAGACAGATACTCAAAAACTTGGATTTTGATTTATGTTTCTGTCAGCCTAAAAAACTATTAATAACTGATGCATGTAGTGCTAGTGTGGCTTGTTGCCATTTATAAAAACATTCAAAGGAATTTCTCATTTATATTAAGGCCAGAGTAGTATTTCACACATACCATACTTATAAAAACTGTTGCTATACTGCAACCTCCAAATTAAAGCAAAAAAATACATTTTTTGTCTCATTTGTTAGAAAACGAGACAAAAAAACATCAAAGCTAGTTCTCTGTTAGTGCAGAAGACCAAATATTTAAAATCAGTAAAATAGTTTACTAACCAGCTGCAAAGTCCAGTTCTTCAGAGACAAAAACTGTAGTCAGAAAGAGAGAAAAAGGCATGTAAGTTAAAGAACTAATAATAATCAAAATAAAAAAGTGAGAGCAATTCTAAAAATAGGAGTGGTATGTTACAGAACAGCACTCTACATTGGTAACTTCCAGGCCTCCTCCCATCTTGAACTCTAAATTTTGGTGGAATGACTAAACTAAACCAGGTTGAAAAACAATGACCAATTAAATGCAGTCAATCCATGTTTTAGTTAAAGTAAGATTAGCATTAAAAATATTTACATCTGATTTTTTTCATCGAAAGTCAGTCCAGAACAGGAGGGAAGCTTTGTACTGAAATATTTCCAGCAACACAGGAAAAGTTTTGCTTTTTCACCAACCAGGTACTTTGTACCGACTCTACAGTGCTCAGCCAGTGTTTATTTTTATTAAAAGTTCTTGAAGAACTTCTTCAAAGAGTCCTCATTATTAGAAATAAAGAAGGAAAAGCATCAGAACTCACAGCATTGACTTCTCCAGTTTTGGGGCCCCATGGTGTATTTGGTTCTACAAGCACATCACATTCAAGGCCTTTGTCATCACCAAGCCCAATACCAGAATCACTTTGCGAGAAATAAATAAACCAAAAATAAATATTGCTATTCCACTACTTCAGAATCAGTCTCAATTTACTCAACATGTATCAAGAGAGCAGACAGACCTCCAAGTCAGCCACGTAACATTTTAATAGCAATACATTAAAATATAAAGATCACAGTGAATGCTTATGGAGGTTGAGTGACTAAAAGCCTTCTTGAAAAGTAAAAGGAAAAAGTTCTTGTTCTTCACTTCCCAATTTCCAAGCAAACAACCAAAAATAAATTACCCTTAGAAAGTCCTATGACTCATTTTGAAATGGGAGAGAACTCAAATATAACAAGGACACGTGTTCACTGTTGAAGGCTAAATTATTTCAGTAACACAATACAATGTTCTTACCTATTCTCATCCTTAGTGAAAGGAACAACTATAACATCTCTATGATGCAGCAGATCATTCAGGATCTGAGCAGTCTGAGATGGCAAAGCATCCCCCTCTTCACTTTGAGGTGGCAAAGCATCCCCATCTTCACTTTCTGGAGGTAACTCTACCATATGATCCCTCACTTTGCAGCCCTGCAATACACAGAGGCCAAAGATCAAATATTGGAGCTAATGGGAAGAACTGATTTCAGTCAGTATAATAATAAAAGCTCAACTTTTGAATTACAATCCTCACTTTGAAAAAAGGTCAGTTTTCCTAACATACTGTTGCCCACCCCACCATGTGTCCTGCTCTTTTAAAGGAGAGCTGAAGTACCTTTGGGAGGGTTGTAGGGTCAAACCGAAGAACTTTTTGGTTACAACAGGGATACACTCCTGTGCCAGTGGAGCCCAGAGCACTTGCTACACCTGGATAAAGAACCGGCTGCGAATGGTACTGGCAGTGGGAGAATTCCGTGCAGAGGAAAGACTACATTAGCAAAAAGAGAGGGAGAGGTGAGATGACCTATGGAAGTAAAAATTGTGTGCTATAAAGAATGTGTACTGAGCTTTATTACCACATTTTCCGAACTGCTTTAATCCCTGCTTCACCCCCCAAAAGTCACCTACCACAAGCCAAAGCGAAATCACCTAACCTGGTTACATCTTGAGCAGGTCAACCAGTTGACAGTCCCCCAAAGACGCCAATAAACGTCCCGCCAGGATTTCAGTTCTTCGTGAAGGCCAATTAAATACTCATGCACTTCCCAGGTTTTGTCTCTGAAAAAGCAAAACATCAGTCTTGACTGTTTTGATGCTGCCACCAGAACCATGAGGTGGAGAAAGAGCCGAAAATCTGGAAAGCTTCCAGTAGTTATAAGAGGAGGGATACAATATGAGACAATGATTACTAAATTCAGAGCATGACAGAAGAGCCTTTGTTTTTTCAGAACATCCTAAACTCACTCCTAACAAAGAATTAGAGCTTGATTCATCTCAAGATCCACATACTGCGAATTTGCAAGCTAAGATAAACATCTTCTATCTATCTGAAACACAACAATAATTACTTAGCTAAGAAATACAGTTTGAAAACACAAACTCGTGCCCTTTTGATGAAGGTGCATACCTGGCAGTTATAGTCTTAAAAATACAGGACTTGGTTCCTTCCTTGGGCTCAAATGAGATACACCTCTTCAGAATTCAAAAGAGAATATGCAACTTGCAGTGGGGCATGTTATCTCCAGAATGAGCAGATAAAATTTCCTCCCAATTTTAAGCCCTGGCCTGGACAAGTTTTGTTAAATGTGGGCCTAAGCTAGACTAAGCAAGCAGTATTTCCAGTGGGAAGTTAGTTCTAGGCACCACTAGAGGACCAATAAATAGAAACCTATTTTTAAATCATTAAAGATAGAACTGTATTAGCTCCTGAGCCTGAATTCATTAGTGGGCAGCATCACTTCTCAGTGAACATATTCTGTGTAGCAAAGCATCATAAGTAGCACAAGGCAAATAATTAGAATCCAGATAATCCTCTGAGTAACTTTAAAGCCCTGCACACTTATCAGCTGGGAATTGCAGAGCAGCCACATACACTCAGCTTAAGTGAAGTAATACAATTAATGAATTTTATGTGACTAATCACCAATGACCTTAAATAGGTCAGGACAGGGACACAAGACTTGGTTCTATGTAGATATTAGGCAGAACTTAACTCCAAACCTTGGAATAACTGGTGGGAGCTGATATGGAACTGTTTTGGTTGTTCTGAACAAAATGGATCTGATGAGAAAGGTCTCCTGTCATTAATCTCCCACCATCCTCCTTAAAGGGGGCATGTGGGGAGGGAGGGAGCAGCAGCTAATCATGGACTCATCTTCATTAACAGGAGAATCCAGCTGTTCACAGCCATAGATCAGGCAGACAGAACTCAGTTAAACATTTGTGCCAAATGAATCAGGCTTATATACAGAACAGGTCCTGCAAGCTCCTCTGACAAATACTTCAGGAACAGAAAAACAACTGGCTAAGTTTATTTATAGCAGCCTTTAAGCAGGTTGAGCGTTTGATCTGACAGTAGAAAGTCAGACTAGAAAATCCTCTTCAGCCGTTCTTTGCTGACATGGTAAGGTCTATCTTTCACTAAAAAAACTTGCAGAAATGCAGCATTTAATTCAATCTGTCATCAACTGCATACACCTTAAAATCATCTGATGTAAGAATTAGCTGAGTATCTTCTATTTAAAGCAGCACAACCCAAAAATAGCCCTCCCAGTAATCATGGCTGCAGTTTTCCCATTTCCATTCAGCAGCATCACTGCTGAATGAATTTCCGTAGTACATCATCACAATCACACCCCATTTTTTGCTAGGTAATACAAGAAATTGAGATGCTTCATACACTCTTCACATATCTGTGACTTAATTTTGTAATGTATCCGAGTATGTAAGTATTTCTAAAATCACCCAAAATCAGAATTGAAGAAGCATTTTATATATGTACATATTCACTACCTTATATGAACATAGACAATATTCCCATGTTGGTCTATGTTGATTTTTCCTGGTACACAAGGAATTCTCCTTTCAGTTTCTTTGGTTAGCAGCTTTTTACATAAACAACACCTAGATTTATAAAAAAAAAGAGAAAGAAGGACAGAAAGAAAGAAAGCACTGGAGTAAGAGCAGGACTTCTAAACACAGGGACTGTCCTTGTTATTGAAACCACCATATAAAAAGCCCATACCTGTATAAAGTTGCTGCATTTCCTCTAGAATCTGGATTTACATACTCTGGATCAAACAGTCTCTCAATCTTCTTGCAGAAAAGTTTACTATTAATGACAGCAACACAGCTCACCCATTAGAAAAAAACCTGAAAATTGCTTTATGTATAGTGATATTAACAATCGCATTCTGATAAGCAAAGTCATTCACAGAATCTAGATTTCAATATAATTTTCCTTTAAATTATCATGTTAATCTCGTTTTTACACAAGGTTGATAAGTGATACTTCGATTTTTTTTTCTTTATTAAAATGCTTGCCAGTGTTAACTGCCAGCTTCTACCTTAACTAAAAGACCTTTTATTAGTGAGTATTGCTGTGAAATTGCACTTCATTCTAAAATTAAACCTTCATCCCTATGGACTAAAATCCTCGTTCCTTTCACCTTGCTTGCCTGTCAGTCTGCACTCCAGTAACTGGCCCTTATCTTGATACTGAGCTGAGGTCCTGATGTTTGAAAGAACATTCCAGCACAACTATTCAGCCTCCCAGCCATCCTGAATTCTAAGTCCAAACACCTGAGTTCACAGGATACTGAAGCCAAAACATTCTCTACCAATAAGGAGCATGTCATCCCATAAAAGGTTTCTCACCCTAATCTTGGCTCCCATGGGAGAATTCATAAATAATTTGCCCATGCCATGCTCCTAGTGTGGCCTTTCCTTTTGCTCGTTTCCTGTAAAAGCTCTTTCGTTTTGCTCAAAATTTTAATATAAAATTCTGAACTCACACCATTTTATCCTGCATTAAAAATACATTCCATGAGAATATATATAACATACAATTTCAAACTGCACAGTCTTAGGTGTTATGAAATATGATCCCAAAGCCCAACAGCACTTCAGAGGTGTATTACAGGGCAAAAGAAGTTACCTCTTAAATTTGTCTCTTTTGTCCTTCAGCTCTTCCACCTCGTTGTGCCTGAAGAGATCAGCAATGTGCGTAACAAGATTAGCGTTGATACAGTTCATGTTACATGGTGTGGCTACAATAGCATTCATATTTTTGTGACAATAATGAATACATTTCTCTACCTAGGAAAAATAGAAATATGAAAGTTAAGGAATTCTAGACAGAAAACCCCCATACTAATTGCTTCAAGATTTTAAGTGTGATGTTTTGGAAAACTATTTCAGTTCAACTTAAAAATAAAAAACAAGCCTCAGATTTGCCTAAAGGAGACGCTGAATTAAGATTACTTAGTTTATGTTCTCCTCCAAAAAATTCAGTAACCTTCCAATTGCTTGTTAAAATAGAAGCACAAAACACATGGATCCCAACTTCAACATCTGTGCTTTACTGTGGGTCACCCCAATGACAGAACTTTTGACAAACATTTTAACAAAGTCAGCAGTTATTCCTTATACAGAGCTAGAAAATCAGATCCTAAATTGCAGGCATATCATTCATGTGAAAAGGATATAAAACAAGCACTCTAGATCACACTATCACATTTAGAAATAATTTAAGTTTTACTGCATCGAGATTCTGCAAATATTGGAGTACTGACTGCATGGAATAGGAAAAGTGTTAAAAATCTCAAAATGTTCTCATTGCAGCACCTGTTTATGTAACAGCCAAAGCACAACAAACAAGCTGTTAAGACACCTGGTAATTAACTGTGCCCTCATGCCAGAAAAATCAATCAATCTTTCTTAGTACTTACTAATGAATCCATCTTCAAAAACTCAGAAGAAATAAGGATTGAGATGACATTTGATGGTTCTAGAAGGCAACAGAACAAAGGCAGGGGTTTTTAGATGGATTTTTTTTTTGTAATTTCATATCCCATCCCTTCCTCTTCATATTTAGCATCTGTGTTAGCTATTATTTTAGCAATCAACTTGTCAGTCCATCTTCTAGTATACAGAACCTTTTAACCATCTTAAGAAATAATTTTTTGGTTTACCATTTCAGTGGCCAGACTACAATTATAACCTGGAAAATTTGTTAAAATCGGGAACCTTATTAAAATTAGAAAATGAGGCTTCACAGGGACACAATGACTAAACAATTACATAAGATTATCTTCCATCTGTAGCCATCACATCCAGCTGAGATTTTTTTTCAAGATAACCCTCACATTGCAAGTTACAAACAAAGAAAATAGTTACATTTTAAAAAGTGGTAGCAAAGGCTCATTAAAAAATTAAAAACTTGTCTCAAAATCCACAAAGGCTCTTCTACCATTGGATTGGATTGAAATTGTAGAAAACGTTGCAATTGTACCAACAAGGAGCAGAGGGGAAACAAACAAACTAATCATCAGCACTTAAAATCTACCACTCTGTCCTTGGTCGGAAGAGGTCTGAAGAGTCTTAATTAAAGACATCACACCCCAAAATATATTAGGGCTTTTTTATTGCTTCAACTTTCAGCATGTTTCCTCAAAGCTGTCAGTGCTGGCAAAGCAGAGCCTTCTGCTGAAATGACCAGAGGATCTCTGTTGCAATACTCTAACAACTGACAACAGTCAGAAACAGACTGAGGATGAACTGCATCAAAACCATTTATCTTCAATTAATACAGAACTAACAAACTAAAAGAAATTATCTGCTTTTACCTAAAGTAGGCATTTCATTAGCCTCAAACTCTTTGGAATTCCTTTTGACGTATCTTATCAGCCAGTCAAAGATGTGAACGTCACAGTGCACGGAAATGTCCACCTCCTCCCAGCGCTGGGCATCCACTGACAGGTACTCAGCAAAGTATTTCATCTCTGAAATCAAGAGGTCTCGAGGACACACAAAATCTTCTTTGAGGTTTTTGGCTTCATCACACACATGGATCACCATATTCGGCCTCAAAAGAAAAAAAGCCACAAAGCAAATTAGGAGCCTAAGCCAAGCAGGACATCAAAACCCAATGACCTCATCTCCAATTCTGTTCCATGCATTGCAACCCAGATGTCACCAACAGGGTTTTATTAACAAGGGGAAAACAAATTGTGGTTATTAACTATTAATAGAAACTATAGTTGAGTAGGTGAAGAAGACAGAGGCATATCCTCTACAGATAATCAGAATGATTTAATAAGGCAGCAGAAATAGAAAATTTCTAGCTCCATTCCTCAGTTTTGTTACCTGTTTGTTATAGGATACTACCTGAATTACATGGAGAACTTATTTTTTCTCCCTTCTTAATTTCTTTCAAAGAATAACCAGATATGGGTGCCTAAATCACTGAGGCACCAAGGACAGTAACAGCAATTTTTATCAGTGTAAATTAAGAATAGGTTTATTACATATTAAAAATCTCTATTTCTTAAGAAATGCTCAAAGCTAGAATCAGTAAATGCTGCCTCTACAGAACATTATTCTATGTGTATGTAATTATATAGTGTGGAAAACAGGGATATGTGATGGAATAAAAGTGACCTGGATGCCTACTGGAAGCCATGGGAAAATTTCATTTACAGCTTTCTTTTCCTGCTTTTACACAGGATAAACCTATGTTCAAGAGTATTTTTTAAAGTGCAATTGAGCATCAGTCCTGTTTCATTCCTTTATAAAACCAGGTATGTTTCTCATTCCTGCCACAGCAGTGATCAATCACCCAGAGGAACAGTATGCACAGATTTATAAATATCTTATTGCACACAACACATTCTCAAACCAACTCCTTGAATTTCTGTAGCAATGGAAGGTTTCCAAACTTCTTATTCATTAGGCTGTTTCCAGCTGTTTTCTTTCTGGTAGTAGATAAATAACAGCAATTTAGACGTCTTTCTGTCAATTCTACAATCCCCTAGATAACAAACACACAAAGCTCTTCTTACCCCTGGGTTTCATCAATGCTTTCTCCACTGTTATGTACAGGACCTTTCTCAGATTCTGAAGAACAGCTCCTTGTGGAGGCTGCACTGGGTCTTCCTTCAATGTAAGGAAAAAAGGCTGCATTAGAACAAAAGCTCCTGATCTTTTGCTCTTCAGCATCTTGGAAATGCAACTGAAGTACGGCTGTCACAGTGGAGCAATGGCACAGCTAGCAACAAATCTGCTTCCATAAGGGCTACTAAACAATCCAGATTCCTGCTCTGAGTGCCATGCATGGGAACTCACAGCATTGCTGGCTTGCCCAGACACTTGGCTACAAATCCAGATCACTCCTGGCTCAACACTGAGCATGAGACACACTGCCTCCAGCACTTCCTTCTGGGAATGTGACCCATCCCCTTAGCTCTTCTGGTCTGCTTTGTGGGACATGGCTCCTAAGCCCCTGCCACATCAAAGCTTCTGCCAGGACATAACTTGAGAACAATCCCACTCCTTACCACGTGCCAGCTTTGGAAATAAGCAGTTTCCAAAGAGAAGCACAGAAAACACTTAGGGTGTGTTTGTTTTTGCTACATTTCTCACACATATGGCTTAAACCAGCTGATCATATCAAACAATGTTCAAAGAGAGCAGACCATGAAATTTGCCTGGTCCTAGAGCACTGAAGTTGTTCCAGGAACAAAGGACAGATGCACTTCAAATAACTGGTCTTCACAAAGGCACTACCAGCAGTGGAAAGTGCACACAACAACCTAGTGAAGCTCAGGAGTTCAGTCACCAAATCCACAGAGCTCTGGATCAAGGGTTAAAACAATGAAGGTCTTCACCAGCTGTGCATGGATTGCTGCAACATGGAACTTAAGTGATCTTGCTTAAAAGTCGGAAAGATCATTATCTTTTTAAAACAATGCAAGGGCACATATCTGTCTTCCATTGAAAACCCATAAGGTGGTGATTTTCCATGATTATGCCATTCTCTCAGATTTCTGGGAGTTCCAGAAGCATCATCTCCCTTCTAAGTAATGTAAGAGGCTGAAGAAGATTAAGACAGACCTCTTCATCTAATGGCTGAGCAACTACAGCAGACTGACAGCAAAAATTATATGGTGCAGAACACAGCAGTTATGCCCCTCAGGAAAGCAAAATTACTGCACTGGAGGCAAAGGAAACAAAACTTTCTCCAAAGGTGCAGCCAAAGGTGCTTGTACAGTTTAGTCTTAGTAAGGCCTTAATATGAGGGAGTACAGTTAACAGAAGGGAGAGATTCACTCCCAGTAAAATCTTGGAAAAGGCTGCTCCAGCCACAGCTTTCTGGGCAGCCATCCTCACTGCAGGTGAGGTGGGAGCCCTGGGCTGCAATCAAAGGTTTGAGTTATAAAAGAAGGGACTGTGAAAATACATGGTATGAAAGAGTTCTGTCTGAAAATATATTAACAAGTTCATTGTGATCATGGTGAAGTGATTTATTGAAGGCAATAAGTCTGAAAAGAATATGCAACACAGCCAAATTAATGAGGACATCTGAACTTCACCACGCGTATCTTTTTCTTCTCACCACTAAAGGTTACAAATTGATTAACTTTTGAAACCTTGTAACAAATACTTCAGGTGACAGGCTATCCTCCCTGCTTTTTTACTGTCATGAGATGCAATCAGAGGGACTAACCAGCAGTTTGCCTTGCAATTAGCAAGTATTAAATGAGCTTTTATGACTCGGCCAAAACCAGAATCCAGCTCAGAATGAGTATGGTCTGATTTGCTTTTTCTTGGTGTTACTCGTGACTACAAACAAAGGCAAACAAGCCCAAAATTCTTGATTCTAACAATAAACTAATGTGAATAAATCCACTAGGAAGCAATTAATTAAACAAAAAACATTTACAAATAGGATTGACTCAAATCCCCAATTCTGAAATGTAGAAGTACCTCACAAATACTAAGAAGGCGAGTTCACCCAAGCCTGTGAGAAATAAAGATTAATTACCCTAATTTCCTATCAACAAATTACACTCAAACAGGGCAAATTATTTATCCAAAGTCACAAAGAAAACAGATAACAATCTCAGGCTAGGATCTTGTCGAAGAAAACATTACATTAGTGGACTTAACTGCATAAATACTCATTACATGTATCACACTGTTAAAAAGAAAACATGCACTAATTGTCTAATGAGTTCTAGAAGCAGAGTTAGCTCCTTAACTGCCTACTGGGAAGCAGCTAATCCTGTAAACAGGGACCTGTGGGTGCCAGCAGCATTTATCCCACATCAGGCATGGAACCACATAATTGAAAGCTGATGGGAAACACTTTCAGTCGTGACACTCCATTCCAATATCATCCCTTGATTAGAGTTATTAAAAACATTTTATTCAAAGTTCCAACAGCTGTTTTCCTGCTGCAAACAGGACAGTGAAAGCTGTAGTAAAGGACATTTTAACAGAGAACACGTTGTTTAAATGCTTCACTGTCATCTTAATTTTTAACACAGAAATTATTTATTCATCACTGAAGCAAATTTCTCATGCAAATGCATTCACCAAGTTCTAAAGTCACTGGAACTTCTCTGTACTGAAAATCAGAGAATAACACACATTTAATTACAACTTCTGACAGAAGTAGTACTAAAGGAATTGTTAACAATATTTGATTGTGCTATGATTGAATTTACAACTATGGGGTTTGGTCCTCTTCTGCCCAATAATTACTGGGACACATAATTGACTGAGACATTTTATGGCATCTCAAGATAGTCCTGAAGCATAAATTAGCTACATTTTGTTCCAACTCCTCTGTACCCATCCATGGCAAACACAGGGCTTGTATCTGGGAGAGGAAGGTTTGCCCTCGAGGGATCACCCCCTCAGCTTCCTGCAGCTTTTCTTCACAATACTCTCCAGTTACTTTAATAATGCTGCTTAACCTGACTTCAAATGGCTGTAGGGTTAACAGCACACCACCAAAAATCCTAAACAGAATCCAGCAGAAGGATTTACGCCTCTTGGAAGGACAAATTATCACAAGTACCCAAGCAAACATTGATTCTTAAACTAAACTAATGGCAAGTGCCTTGTTGTATGCACTACATTCATACTTAACTCTCCAAAGAGGAACGACTATTATTCCTGGGTGGACTTAGCCACTCAGGACAGAAGCATGCACATACTGATTATCAAAGCCAATATATTTCAGAATGACTAAAAACATACCAGTTATAGTAATGGAATCCTGCCCAATAGCAGGCTCCTGAAACTCTGTCTGTGAATCGAGCAAGGAGGATTTGATGTACGTAGCTAAAGTTTCCACAGGACTCCCACCAGCAGCCATCAGGGGATTATATTGGTTGTCAACAGGTGAACTTCCACTGCTTTTTAGTTCATCAAACCTTTTTGCACACTGTCACAAGATTAAATGATAGGACAATGAAGCAGTAGCTTTCAGCACATTTTTAATAGCTATGATTTGAGATGGATACTGTATTGCACATTTTTGCATGTGAAAGTTATCAGTTACTGATATCAAACTCATAAATGCTTCCTATTTAGTGATATCAGCAAAGTACGTAAATACACAGCAAAATAAGAGTTACCATAATTAAAAGATTCTAATAGAGAAAAAATTAGATAGAACCTGTTTCAACATCCATTTCCTTAAACCCTGTGCTTCTAAGCCCAGTTTTCAAAGAGAAAGTTATGGGGAAGGGTTTGAATTCTCGTTTTGTAACTAGTATTTTTACCATAAACACGGTCAAATGTTATCAAGAGTGGCTATAGTAATTGATTCACAATTATTATTATTTTACTTTACGACTATCATTGCAATGTGGACAAAAGGCACTGCTGCTTTCCACTGCAATTCTATGAACTTCCCATCACCTGTTTTTGATGAACTAGAAAGTCTTTCCATTCTATAAATTTATTCTAACACAACCAGAATTATAGGTTTGGTTCAGCAAAGTCCTACACAGAGGTAACTTGCACATACAAATAAATCTACTTAATTCTACAGGTGCTCCTCCTGTGACACAGCTGTTGGGCTCCATTAGCAGCTGTTTTCATTTATTTATTTTGGGTTGAGTTAACAGACTTTGCTTCATGCCAGGGCCACACAGGGACATCCTTCTGATATCCACAGTGTCTCAAATTTGTGATGCCAGTCACACGTATACAAGGGATAAATAAAGGGATATCTGTACTTTTATGTAACTGCCTTAAACAGAGACTTCACATATTTGAGACATTTAGTTCTTTAAAAACAGAGTAATCAGACATGTACTAATCAATAGTATGAATCAATTTGAGGAGAGGGCTCGCTTAGAGTGTTATTTTATCTGCTTAACGCGCACAGTGCTGTCTGCACATTGAAAGGTGAACAGCAGAGACGTCCCCAAGCACTCAGCCAGGCACTTGAAAGGCAGTAACATTCCACAGAAGCTTCTACACCCAATCCTTTATTTTTATGTTCAAAATACAAGGTTATAGCAATGCCCAATAGCACTGCTATAAATGTGAGCTGACACACTTGATTAGGTTTGCAAGCAAGTCAAGACCACTGGCTTGCTTTCTTTCAGCTTTGCTGAATCACAAGGGTAAAAGACTTTTCTTAGTTTACACCCTTCTCAGAAATGAAAACGCCAAAATTACTATTTAAAAAAAAAAAGCATTTTACTTTCAATCCAGAAAGAGAAGTAATTTTACAGAGGTTCTTCCAACTCTACTCCAGCAAAAGAAAGAAAAATCCACATCTGGAAGGATCAAAAAAGAAGCAACTGCACTCTTTACCTAATAGAGATCTGTAACCCCTCCTTGGTTAGAGCTGGAACAACAAGTATAGAGAAAACTAGGTTTTGAAAACTAGGTTTTTAAAAAGTAGGAAACTTGGTTTCCTAGCAAGGATATTACAACCTGCACAGGGTTAGTGCGTACTGGCATCGTTTCCACACAAGTCTTAGTTATGGAGTTTGGAATGCAGTAGCACAGCTACCTTTTTTAAAATCCACTTTTAATTTTTCCTTTCTGGTAATTTTTATTCTTATTCTGTAGAAGTTCTAATGAAAGACAATTCAGAAAGCATTTCTCAATGTTCAGGTTCTGTAGAAACAAAATAAAACTCCCCACTTCTTTTCAATCTACTGCTTATTTAATATTTTCAATTAACTGCAAATTACTTTAGGAAAAAAAACCCTTAACTTCAATTTCCCTCCCTCCCCCCCAGAAATGTTCTCTTCTCCATAAAGCATTTAAGTTCTTTTATTAGAGAACTCACTTCTTTGGATGTGTATCCTGGAACCAGCCTTGCCACACTGTCCCAGTTGATAGGCTGAGGAACACCAACTAGGGAACACAGGATCATATCCAAAACCATTTGGTTGTTGTCATAGGGGAAGTTATTGTTTTCTGAGAATCCACGACTCATCTTTGGCTACTTAAGCCTAGAAAAGAAAGAGTTTTTAGCAAGTCTCACTGCATAGTTTGCTAAAGCTTGATCTACTTTTACCCATAAATTACTGGGGGAAGTGTTTACCACAGCATTAAAGTCAAGTACTGAGGCTTTTTTGACAAAGTTTACATATTCTCAAAGCCCTGAGGGAGAAGCAGATGTGCAAAACGTACCAAACCCAGCCCAAGAGCAGCAGGTATTATCCACAGTTCCTCTGAGCTGCCTCTTTCCAGAGGGGAAATCACACCTCTGAGGCCTCAGAGACAAGAGAACACAACAGAAAGGCTTCAAAAATCTCAGAATAAACAGCCTAAGTTACAGAGGGGCATTTTAATGTAAATTTACTCACATTCAAGTACAGTTCCCACAAACCTGCTCTCGGCTTTCTCTCCTCTTGCTGTGCTCATCTGCTCAGCACACCTGACTGCCATTATTTAGAAGTCAAGCAACAAGAATACCAGTTTAAGGGCCATCAACACTTCGGAGCCAGGAAACAGCACCTGAATCTTGTTCAACTCTCATCCCTAACACCTGACATTCCTAACTCCTTATTAGCCACGATTAGCAGTTCCAAAAACCTTTTATTCCTCAGCTTCAAGCTGAACACTAGAACAAAGCATATAAGAACAGCAGAAAACACTTTATAAAACAGGATTATATTTAGGTTGGTTTTTTTTGTTTCTCTAAATGGATTTTATGTATAGCACCAGGGAACAGAGTAAAAGTTCAAAGTACTAATTTGGTTTATGCTGGGAAAGAACTCCAGACATTAATTAAGAGTTTAATGATCAAGTAACACATGGCCAAAGAGCTCAGGAGGGACTTAGAAGTACTTAATAACAGAACTTAAAAGCCACACACAAATTTTTGACTTATAAAGCAAGAATTATAGATAATTTGAGAGAAAATACACCTAGATAACACCTGATAACTTATTACTAAAAGCATCCTGTACACAGATGCTTCTTTTGCACCACTCTCTAAAAGAAAAGATGCTTAAAATACACAAAATAGCCCTGATTTTTCTCTCTCTATAAGCTGTTCCAGCCCTTTTTTCTGCTTGTTTTGTTGGTAGAAACAGAAATCACAGCAGCAGGTAACTGTAAGCTTTCATCCTCTCAAAAGAGCAGCTGAATTAAATCAGAAGGAAAAAAACCCAGAACCCATTCAGAGAATCCTTTGCTTTCCCACAGTCGTGAGATTTAAAAAGAAGAAAAACAGCCACAAAACAGAAGACAGGTCCTATAGAAAATTTCATACCATTTTAGCAATTCTGTCTAAATGAAAGCTGCTGTAAAATACACCAAATAGCCAGTTTTAAAATAGAGAGGTCCTCACAGATTATACAAGCCCAAAATTCCAAGTAAAATAGATGCCACTATCAGGCAAAAGTGGATCAGTCCCTGAAGTCACTGTGTCCTTATCCCTCACCCTGAGAGCACTTTCAAGCAGTGTCACAGTGGTGATTCTGTGGTGGAGACTTCTCTCTCTCAGTGTGCAGACAGATGTCGGTAGCAATTACATTTCAGCCCCTGAACAGCTCCCGTTTCTGCTGTCAGGAGGAGAAATAACCGGGCCAGAATAGGTCAGCACCAGGGGCAAACCCAAGTGATTATGAAACACAGAGCTGACTTCTTGTGCTAGCTCATACACATGGAGCAGCTGGTTTAAAAATATGTTTGGGTGAGATAAGTAAATGATGGAGTATTATAATCCCATGGTTTCCCACCATAAAATAGGCTTAATGCGAGTAAAATTACCAGCAACGTCAATATTCCATAAATCACCATTTTGAGGGCTACTGCTATGGGATGATTACACTGGGTAATCAAAGAAAGGAAAACAGAAGGAAAACCTTTTTTTTTTTTGAAAAACAAAAAAAAAAGGAGTCCATAATTTGCAGGGAACAATTCTGAGTGCTTCAGTGATAACAAGTTTACTACACACCAACCCTGTGGACCATGAAGCAACCCAAGCATGAAAGGCTGACAGGTGCTCTAAAACATGCTGACACATTCAGAGAGAATCAAGTCTTTGTCTCTCATACAGGTTTCTTTATTTGCTTATTCTGCACATTAAAATACAGTTCTGTATATGCTTGTCACTGCAAAGACAAATGAGGGAAGACAATTACAGGCAGACAGAAGTATTTTTATTTATACTCTGGAAAGAGCACGGGATTTCTCTTTGCAGCTTTATACATGACATTCAATATTTGCCTTTTTGTCCTTTAGGAAACCCTGTTGGAAATATAAAGACACGTGCAAGATTCTGTCTCATGCAAGAACTCTTTAAAAGCAGCAACATAAAGCCTGTAATAAATCACATTCTTAAGAGAAAAAGCAACTTCTACAGATTCTCTCTGCTCTGTTACTGCAAGGAAAGCTCAGGTTAACCCCTTCCTCCACTATGAAAATTGGAGAAAAAAAAAGTTCCCAAATTATTTAACTCTGACCAACTCGTTTGAGACGCACAACATAGAAAGATACGTGAGAACAGGAATTCATATTAATACTAGAATTTCAAATCAAGTGGTGCAAAGGATTCCCGAGTTAACTCATTATGGAAACACACAATCTGTTTAGTTTTTGGGTTTTTTTTATTATTTAAAGCAAATCATAGAAAGTTATTTTTTAATGAAGAATAGATGAAGAACTACTACCCCTTGCACGCGCACAACCTGAGGGAAGGTGAAGATGGTGGGATGGGCACGAGGTTTCCATCCACAGCCCTGAGACGCAAGGAAGTGATGGTGCAGAATGAGGCGGGGGAGAGGAACAACAGCAACTTTGCAGCTTGCCCACGTACCAGCCAACATTAAAAATTATAAAGCGTTTAAATTAAAGAAATAAAAACCGGTCTCAGACACCCTACAAGTGCAGCAGCCTCAGAGCGGGGACACCGACGACCCCCCCGGGCGCTCTCCACCGGGACCCCTTCCGGGCGCTCTCCCGGGTTTACCTGGCGGTTCCCAGGCGCGGGGTCAGCGGACGGGACAGGACGGGCAGGGGCTCCTCCTTGTGACGTGCTGGGGCAGCAGCGCGACGGGGGCTCGGCTCCACCGAGGTCCGAACGGGACCCGCGGGCGCCCCGTCCGCACCCGCTGCGCCGCGCCCTCAGCTGCCGGCGCCGCCCGGCCCCGCCCTCAGGGGAGGGGCGGGAACGCCGTGAGGGGGGGCGGGCCCCGCCAATGGGCGCGGGGCGGATGACGAGGCCACGCCCCCTCGCGCCGGGCACAGCCAATGGGGCGGCGCGGAGCGCTCCCGCCCCGGGCAGGCGGCGGCCCCGCCTTGCCGCAGTGCAGCGGCGGCGGCAGCGCCCCCTCTCGCCCCGCGCGCGGCGTCCGGTCGCCTCGGCAACGCGCCGCCCCGCGCGGCGTCACGGTGACGTCACGACGCGCCTCGGACAAGTGACTTCGGTGTCCCTCACTGCGGCGGGTGGTGACGTCACGGCGGCAGCGGCCTCGCTCCGTGTGACGTCACGCCGCCCCTTCTCCCTCCGCTGCTGCATCGCCCAGCTCATTTGCTACGCTGTTAACCATAAAACCCAGTAGCAGAACACTGAAATTAGAGCTAATGACACGGAACAGCCCAAACACTGGGAGTGGCCACCACAGTTACTCCGCAAAGGCTCAGACTGTTTTTGTCCCAATCCTGTTTTTTCACCCACACTGTTTGATTCCTTCTGCATGTCTACTACTGTATCAAGTATTCCCAAACATTTTCAAATTACTTCCTGGGGGAAGCCACCCGTGCCTGATAAAGACCAGCCCGGATCCCCATTTCCCACACAACAATCCTTCCCAATCCCGCTGCTAAACTCTGTTCTTCGGTGGTAACTGGCAAAAATCAAGGACATTAATAATTTTCTTTCCAAAAATTTCACTTGTAAACTCTGGAATAGTACAATGAACACAGAGAATGCAAAAAGAAAACACAGAAAAAATCAGAAAAAATTATTCCCCTGATCTAGAGAAGTGTCTGAAATCTAAATTCTCTAAGTCTGTCTAAAAGCTTCCCGTAGGGAAAGCCAAACCCACTGATTTCATACCACCCCACAGCCAGCCACAGAATGAGCTAATGCTGGAATATTGCTGCATTATGATGACATCCAGTTATTTAATGAGGAATGGAAAAATGATGGTATGTCAGAGAGCTGAAACAGGTTTTTTAATTAATCTCTGCTGTTCAGCAGAAATTCGGACCTCCCCCGCTTATTTTTTAAATTATGAAAAATATTACAATCAGTATTTGAGAATAAACAAAAAAATCAGTATCTTAAATTTTACTCATATGCTGTTCTGGAGACTGTGCTAGATCAGTCACAATAATTCAAGGGTAGTAGAACTATCTCTTTGTATTTTTCATTTCTAGAACCACAAGACTGTGTTTATACTCTGACAGCATAAATAATCCCTGTCATTTGCTCAAGTCTGATAGTTTTGTGACTATTGTGAAATTTAGGGAATTGCTCATAGCAGGTAAGAAAGAGCCAGAGGTGCCCTGCACTGACATCATGCCTCTGTTACCAGTCAAACCAGTTACACCAGAACACTTGTTCCAAGGAGAGATTATCCAGCTGTTTGAGGGCTGAGCTCCACATGGCCACAGAACCCAGGGGACAGATTTACCAGCCCAAAGCTGCTTCAAACTGCTCTGCAAAGGAACCAGTCCAAGATACTAGGAGAAAAGGACAGGTCTCACCACCTGTGGACACACACAAATTACTATTTGCCTTTACAACCCAAAAATGTTCACCATTGTCAATACCTGGGCCACACCTGCATGAATAAAAATCTGGAAGGAGTTACATAAGAATATGACTTCTTGTGTTATGTTTTGCAAAACAAGCACAGTTCTGCTATGATTGCACACAAGAGTATTTCTGCACTTGCTTATCAAGAAATCTCTGTGCTGGTTTCCAAGTTTTCACCTCTTCTGGAAAGTTTTCATTGCCAAGAGATGAGATTTGTAAGA